GTTCGACCAGTTCAACCGCGAACCGGTCCGGCGGGCGGTCCGGAGAGAGTGAGCAACTGGGTGTTTTAATAACCGGGTAAAAACCAGTTGAAATCCCGGTTGAACCGCTGAACCGGGGGGTTCTGAAATAACCGGCCGGTCCGTTAAAGCTCTAATTTGAGCCCTTGATCTGCGATCTAACGGCTTAGATAAACTGGGTATCAGTAATTTGGTATTAGTGTATTACTTATTCGCTCGTCTGGTCTGCCCTAGCATACGCGAACGACGGAACGAGACTCGGAGCCTCGGACGATCCCGACGGAGGTTCCGCGAACGAGACTTCTTCTTCAGTTCTTCTCCCTCGTCCGACCTCCCAACCGCCGATGAACACGTTGGGGAAGAAGTTACGTCGCTTTTGGCCTCCTACCCGACCCATCGAGCTCAGCCTCGCAGGTTCTTAAATTTTTTTTTTTATGCATTTAAGCTTGCATTTATTCTCCAAATCTTATCGATATGCTTGCATTTCTCTCAATTTATGATTTGTTCAGTTTCTGTGGCATTATGGTAACCCTAATGTTAGTGTTGATGGGCATTAAAATGTTTATGTGCATTTGGAAGAAGATGATGATATGATAGATAGAGATTAAAATGTTTATGGTGTGGGTGAAAAAATCAGTATTGAAATGTTTATGTGCATTTGGAAAACAAATCAGATACATCATTTGGAACCATGAGGGCTGTTTTTTTCAGATGAAGCTTCACTAGCTGAAGCAATTGAACTACATTTGTGAATTCCCATAGCTTCTCCATCGCATAGTTTTTTGTGTTTCTGAAGATGAAGTTGATAATGCAGAGCTTATAACTTGCTCATTTCTAGATGTTTATACTAAAACTTTTATCATATATTCTTCAATAAAATCAATTCCCCCCCCCCCCCCCCTACTCATGGTTAGCCTTAGGACTAGTTCATAGGGCCTAACATCCCTAACGAACTTTCACCCTACACCTGCTCATGGTGGTCACACTTTACCCTTGTTAACTCGTGGTGGTCGTAGTCCCCGCTCTTCCGTCCAGTGTCAGATTTATGGCAAGACGGGGTTATGCCTTCTAGAGCAGACATCGCACTAACCTTTCCTATTAACCTCAATAGAAAGCATACACAACAACTGAATAGCACCACCTGATGACTGGTTTCTTGATTATGGTGATACATCTCACCTAACCTCAAACCTTTGACAATTATAATCACTATAAACCTATAATGGGTCCTCTCATGTTTAGGTTGAAAATGGACAATTCCTCCCTTTTACTAACTCAAGGCAAGGAGTTCTACCCACTCCATCTCATAAGCTCCGACTTACTTGAGTTTTACATGTTCCTCATCTTTCATATAATCTCCTCTCTATAAACAAGCTAACCAATGATAACTCTTCTTTCATTCTCTTTGATTCTAATGATTTTGTCAGCAACGATGCCCAAACTAATCAGACTATCCTCCATGGTCCATGTCATCATGGTCTCTACCCAATTAAAATGCATCCAGCTGCTTCTTTCGCTCCTTCCAGCTCTATTTTTCCCCTTCATATCACTGAATTGTATTAAGCTATGTGGCATTAACGTATCGGGTACCCATCTATACCAACTATACAGCTCTTCTCAGCATCACTTCCCACAACCAAACTATATTCTTCTAGTTTTCACTGCTCTGCCTGTGTGTGAGCTAAATCTCATAGACAAGCCTTTGCTTTATCTACACCTAAAATTGCTGGTTGTTTACAACTAATACATTTTGTTGTATGGGGACCCTCCCCAAGTTCATCCTTGCAAGGTTATAAATATTACCTTTTGTTTGTTGATGATTATACTCAGTTTTATTGGGTTTATCTGCTTTGTAATAAATCTGAAAATTTTCATACTTTTTTGTAATTTAAAAAACTTGTGGAAAAGCTACTCTATCATCCCATTAAAATTTTAAGATCTGATAGTGTTACAGAGTACATCAATCATGGTTTTAATACTTATCTCAAGCAATGTGGCATTGTGCATCAAACTACCTATCCATATATGCCTCAACAAAATGGTGTTGCTGAAAGAAAACATAGGCATCTTATTGAGATTGCCTTAGCAATGTTATTTCATGCCCACTTACCAAATCATTTTTTGATAGAATCTCTACTCACTATAGTCTACACTATAAACTGGTTACCAGAGCCCTGCATTGGGCACCCATACCCAAACCCACCCAACTACCCACCCATACCCAATGGGTATGGGTGGGTATGGGTATGCTCATAGACTTATGGGTGGGTATGGGTGGGTATTCAATATGGTGGATAAACCCTCAAGGAGATCATCCAAGCTGATAAATATGTTGCCTAGAGGAAAGCAATGTCTATCGAGTTTGAAGCCCTTCAAAGCCAAAGCACTTGAACCTTAGTTCCCCATTATCCTCATCTTAATGTCCTTGGTGTCATGACCCGGCCCGGCTAGCCCGATAAAATCGGGGCGGGAACAGTAGTCGTACGAAAAACACATATAAAACATTAACAATTCCAATTAAAACTTTAATGTCAAATCACAAACATCGTCCAAAAATGAAAGAGCCACTAAACAATATCAAATAAAGGAGAGATTCATATTGATCATCACACGTGACTACTAAACTTTCAAACCCATCAACATACAGGCTTGCCAATTTTTCAACTGGATCAGACTGTTTGATGGGTATAAAGTGTGCAGACTTAGTCAACCTATCAATAATCACCCATAAAGTATCACATCCTCTTCTGGATCTGGGTAAACCAATCACAAAATCCATACCAATGCCTTCCCATACCACTCTTGTCACGACCGAGCCGGGCTGGGTCGTGACACTTGGTTGCAAATGGCTTTTCTACACCAAATACCATTCAGATGGCTCATTTTCTTGATATAAAGCTAGGCTGGTTGCTCAATATTTCAATCAAGACTATGGCCTGGATTACTTTGATACATTTAGCCCCATTACTAAATTCCCTACCATTCGTATCCTCTTTGATGTGGCTTTTAACTATAAGTGGCCTATTCTACAGCTTGATGTATCAAATGCCTTTCAACATGGACAACTGGATGAAATAATTTACATGATGCAATATCCATGAATTAAAGACCCTCAACTCCCAAATCATGTATGTTTACTCAAAAGGACTCTTTATGGCCTCAAATAGGCACCGGGATAGTGGTTTGCCACTTTCACCACTTTTCTAACGATTTTGGTTTTCAAGTTAGCTCGACTAACCCCTCTTTGCTTGTATTTTCTAAAGGCAGTAATCAACTATGCATCCTAGTCTATGTGGATGACATATTACTCACATGCAACTACACTACAATTATCAATTCACTTGTCCATGCCTTGCAATCACGGTTCAAATGAGGATTCTCGGTTATGTTTCTAAATTTCTTGGCATTCAAGTAGTGCACCTTGACAGTGATCTTCATTTATCTCATGCTTTGAATGTTGCAAATTTATTGGAAAAGGTGTTCATGAAGGATTCAAAGCTTGTTCTCACCCCTTTAGCTACTAAAATCCTGCCAATTCCACCTGACGCAACCTTATTATCAACACATGAATTGTATCGACAGCTTGTTGGATCGCTTCAATATCTTACACTCACTCATCCTGACCTCTCATTTGTTGTCAACCTACTTTCCAGCATATGCATCAATCATATACACTAGATTATCAACTGCTGAAACATGTTCTTCGATTTCTTTGTGAGACACTTCATCTTGGGCTTCCCATTACTACTTCCTCACTTAACCTTCATACTTACTCTAATTCAGACTAGGCAGCTAATACTATAAGTCAAAGATCAATCATAGGCTATTGTGCTTATATTGGGAACAATATGATCTCATGGTGTGTTAAAAAGAAAGCAATCGTTGCCTGATCATTCACCGAAGTTGAATACAGGGCATTAGCTACTGAAACCAATGATATAGTTTGGCTTCGCCGACTACTAAAGGATTTTAGCATACCTATTGCATCTGCCACTCCGCTATTCTGTGACAATGTTTAGCACTTGCTCTTGCTAATAATCTTGTGTTCCATGCTTGAACCAAACACATCAAAGTATATTTCCATTTTATTCAAGTTTGCATCAAACTACATCTCATTAGAGTTCACCACATTTTGTCTAAAGATCAACTAGCCGATATCTTCACCAAAATCATTGTCTAATACTCAGTTTCAATACTCATGCAACAAGTTAACAATTCAAGAACATATTGTTAAATTGAGGGGAGGTGATAATTGATAAGTTCTATTTGATAAGCACACGCAGGCTGGCCTCTCCACCATGCGTGTGATCAGTTGGCTGGCCTCTCCACCACTTGATTTGGCTACCACATCTTCCCTCCTACCGCTGATGCTCTACACAATGAGCAATTTCATCCATTGTTGTCTAACGGCCCTGTCATCTTCTTCCTTACTTAAAGACTTACTATAGTTCATAAGGCACATATATGAAAGATGCTTTTCTGTCATTCCTCTTTGTTTCACTCTGAAATTCTTATTCTCTAACCTTTGTGATGCAGATATTGAATCATTGTTAAAGCAACAATTCTCTTTAAAGTAGATCTAAAGATCAACAACCAGATTTGGTAGTGGCTAGATTTGAAATCATGCACAAGGACTATGGTATGCTTTAATTGGTCCAATAAATCTTCCATTCTAAAAAATGGCTATCAATTCACAATTATAATTTTATTCAATGCTCAATAATCCACATAAATCCTCCAGCTATAATCTTTCCTAGATGTCGTCGCAATTGTAGATCCAGATGACAAGCATTTTAGCTTAATGACACCTTACTCTAACAACTCAAATTCTTGTTCATTTATTATTTCACTCCATTGAGTTTCAATGCATCCTAAACTTTGGCTAAGTAAAATCATAGAGAAAATTGATCTTCATGGATTCTTCCCAGAGTAATGCATGTGTATTAACATCAAGCTTCTCCTAATATATGAAGACCAAATGATACAATAAAAGGAATATAATGCCATAATATCATAATATTCAAAACTTCTATGAGAATCATGAACAATTTCAAAAAAAAAAAAAAAAAATTTGTAGTATGATTAATTAAACTATTATAAGCAAAGCCAATACTAGGTTAACTCAAAATTCTCCTTGATCCTTTTCTTCTGGTTCATCTGCAACCTTAGAATCCTTCGAGGACAGGAAGCGGCCAGTCATTGGATCGATGGGACGAGTATCACGGGGACCACCCTTGCGTGCTATTGCAAGCATTGGTGGTGGGGGCAGAAGACCTGCTCTGAAGAGGATCCTCTGTACAGGATCTGATGCCTGAGCTCCGACTGATAACCAATACCTACACCAAAATGATAAGAACCATATGTTCATTTCTGTAAAGATAAACGAAATTCTTGCATTGAAATAAGCTAAAATAGGAAGCATTTTGGAAAAACATAGCATCAAGAGAATTTTGAAGTTCATTGAAACTAATGAGCCTCACGCATAAAAGCAAAAGTATTATAAGCTAAGCCACACTGTACGTCATTGCCATCAAGTGACTTCATTTTTAAATCACAGGCAAAACAGCACTTGTTCAAGCGACAAGTACCTGGCTAAATGTTTCACTCAATGTAGGTGGACATTGATCCAGCACTGAGTTGTTTCTGGTGAGCCTCATATCAATATATATAATAAAGGGGATGATTGAACATTCCGTTATTTAAATTTTAAGTTAGATATTGGCAAATTTATAATCCGGCTATTTGGAGGATATTCCTCATTTAAAAGATTCATTCTTCTTATAAGTGGTCGGATTCCTTCATGCAGGAGGGATTGAATTTCTCCAATTTAAAACTCCTATTATTCACTTCTCAGTATTTTAAGTGCATCATTATCCCTTCCTCCTTGTGGGCTCAAAAAATTCGGCCCCATCCTCCGCTCGCTGATTGCTTTTTTTTTTTCGGCGAGGGAGCTTTAATGGAATAAGTTCTGGTGTAAATTTTTGGAAGGCAGATGGGTTTGTAGATAAGACACTACCACGAGATTTCACCCTCATTTTGCGAGGACTTTATGATTTGAGTTCTTGTTTCCTATAGGCGCAAGCCCCTATAGTTAATTACCCCTCCCGATCACGAGAGAGAACTTTCGATTAAGGCTAGTCGTCAATAAGATACGTATAAATACGTGCATCTGGCATATAGTAGCAGCATGAGCTTAGATATTTGAAAATAGTTGAAAATTTGAAGGTTTGATATTTAAAAAAAAAAATTCATCATCTTGCACTTAAAGCATATGTTGGGGGAATGGATGATGGGCCCGATCAAGATCTTATGGTTCCGTCGTCCCGAGCCATCATGGTCCCTAGTCTACTTAGTCAGAGGAGGTAGTCGACCCAACCTGACAAAAGGATCCTTGTCGGCAGCCATGAATTGCTTCGTCCAAGGGGACTTTGTAAACCTGAGTTGGATATTTGCCTAAGAGGGGAATTTTGAATTCACCTTAGCTAAAAGAGGGCTTTGTGCCCTATCGATCATATCTTATTGATTCATATATTAAGGATTTGATGTCACTAAGGAACGTATTGACTCTGGCTATAACCGGTATTTCGTTGTACCATTTGTAGGCAAAACCACTCGATTCAGAGGGACCCGGGTCATAACCGTTTATCCTGCAGTGTCATTTAGCAGTAAAACCGCCGGTCAAAGGACATGTACCACGTCCTTACTAACAGGAGTTTGTTTGAAAATGGATCCTAGTGATATTTTCGACTAGGCATTAGCTCTATGTGAGCTGAAGTAGTTTTAAATTTATCCACCCCAGCAAACTATTGCGAAGGGTGAATGGATTTTGCTTTAACTATTTTGATTGTTGAATTTCAAATTTAAATATTCAGATTTGGATGATTTTGGGAATTTCAAATGACATTTTTGGAGTTTTGGAATTTGAATGAACTTTTGGGAGGCATTTGAAAGTATTTGAATCACCCCTCCGGTTGAGATCTACGTTCAACGCGGCCATCATCGGGGTGACTTTGACGTCACTTGAAAATATTTGAATTTTTGTGAAAGTTTGAAGAAACTTTGAAAGTGTTTGGAATTAACCCCACCAGTTGAGATAAACATTCAACACGGCCATCATCAGGGTGTTTGGGGGCATTTTCATTTATGGACTGAACCTTGTCGACTCTATCGAGCTATTAATAGAAGATCGAGTTCGTTATAGGCTTTGTGCCTTCATTAGTGAATTCTCATTATTATAAGCCTTGAAGGCATAATATGAATATGTTACGTTTGGACCGGTCCGGTTTTATACCAGGCGGGGCCTAGCGAGCGGAAGCAAGCAAGGGGGGGGGGGGGGCGAAAGTCCCGTGTGGGCCCACATTGGGGTTAAATCCATTTTGGAGTAGGAAAATTTTTGAATGAGGGGCTGTTTTAGGAAATTTGTATTTTTCCTTTGTCTTTAATTATGAGTTATGGAGAGATTTTGGCTCTCATCTTGAATTTGAATTTTATTTGAGATCTAGGTTTTGTTCTTGGGTTCTTGATGTTGTCGGAGATTGTGGAGAGTATTTCCTTCCTCTAGAATAGAATGAAAATTGTATCTTGCAAGTGCTTTTTGTCTACTAGTGGAATACAAGTGTTTGCTTTGATTTCCTACGAAGTTCTCTTAAGTTTCTCTCAGATTTCCCACTGTTTAGGCTGTTTTCTCTCTGCGAACAGCAATTTTCCTTTGTTTCGTACTAATTGTGGGTAGGTTTGCTTGCGAACTCAAGTATTACCTTAGGGTTACTTGTGAACTCAAGTATTTCCTATCAAAATGTATTAAGATAAATAGATCGGTCGTTACAACCGTATATTTGTTTGATGGCTCGAACCCTGTCAACTCCTATTGATCCGCATAAAAGGATCGGATTCGAACTTAAATTCACTTATTGACTCGCGCAGCATCCATAAACGTTACGTGTGTACCAATAACACGCTCGTCGGGGCCCATGCAGGTGTTTGGGGATACTTTATAATTATTTGTTGAACCTTGTCGTGTCCTATTTACCTACTTAAGAGGATCGGCTTCAAATTTATTGATCCGCGCAGTATCCCTAGACGTCACGTGTATTTCGAAAATATGCTCATTGGAGCCCATGCGGATTTATAATTACACTTACCCCTTGTGTACATATGTTTATAAAAACTACAGTGCATGTACAGGAGTATTTTAAAATATTTGTAAACGCCTTCTGTCTACTTGCAAGGACGTTGCGGATCTGATGGCGTGGCGTTGTACTGGTTATCTGCCCGTTGTATATAGGTAAACTGTTGTGCACTAGTTGCTTTCTGTAGGTGGATGTAGTGCACCAACGAAACTCCTGTTTTTGCTTATAGGTGGATCATAGCATTGTCATCTAATTGTCAAAAGATACCTCTTTGTTTTGATGTGGACTCTATTTTCTCAATCATCGAGAGGTCTTTATTGAAATTTGTGATTGATGCCTTGAAAGGAACTCCTTTAAAGATTTGTCATTTCCAATGCTTGTGGATGTCGGAACTATTTTCTTCCTAAGTATAGGGTCAAAAAGAAATTTTGGAACACCAAGAAGTTTAGTTCGAATTTGTTCAAACATCTCTTCCATTCTGCAAGGTGTCATTCTCCGTACCTCGAGTTGTCTTCATACTCGACATATTCGCAGCATCTCAATCACCGTTGTTGTGGGTGATATATGTACTTGTGTCCACGAGGGTTCGTTGTACTTACGATATACCTATTGTTGTTATCTACAAGTAGCTGTATTTATTTATAGGGGTCCGTTGTATTCACTACGACCTCCTGGAAGTGTTCGTAGAAGAACCATTGTTCCTGCATCATATTCACCTTTCACCAATCTCAAATGGTTTGATGTACTTGTTTGCAAGGACGGATCTTCTACCATCAATTGACAGTCTTGCCATCTCAATCTGTAGACACTTGCTTGTATTGGAGATTACATTAGTATATATGGTAGTTGCATATAAACTCTGCAACTTGTTACTATTGTTTGCAAGTATAGTTCATTTGACCTTGTAGGGATTGTCATAGGAGTCTATTACACCCGCATTATGTCCACCTTTGTCATTTACAACTATTTGTGGCGATGGGTCCTTCGCTATTGATCTCCAGTGTCGCCTTCTTCAATCAACAGGCAATGTCGCTAGTGTTGGAGGTTTCAATAATGCATACAGGGGACACCCATGCATTCTGCAACTGTCTTATTATCTTTGCAAGTATGGCGCATTTGACCTCGTAGGGACTCATATGTGCTTCAAATGTGTTGCATTGTGTATGTTTATAAGAAGCTTTGTTAGTTTGGTTGCAAATTCTAAATCACTTGGGTTTCCTTGATCATCTTTCGCATGCATTGAGATTTTATCTCCCACTTGCAACTTCTTGTTCACTTGGACGATCATGCATTTAGACTTTAATTTGTTCATTCGTCCAAAGCCTAGTCTTGTGGTCCAACTAAAGTCTTCGCTTGAGTTCAAATTATGTTCACTTGATATTCAATTACGGTTCAAGTTCAAACTTATTTTATTTGGTTAATGTCTTGATTAATCATTTGAGTTATGTTCAAATAAAAGTCCTTGTAGTTCATGCTCAAGTCCACTAGTTCGTGTTCATTTGAGTCCAAATCAGGTCCGAGTGCAGTCTTATATTCACCCAAAATTTTGGCAGCCTCCCGGTGTCTCTTATTTTTAGGGGAAAACTATGGAAAACTTGGTCTTCTATCAAGCTAGAGAAAAGCGTGTACAGTAGGATACCGCGGTCATAAAATCTTCATCCCCACCATGCTAGAGAAAGGCGTACATGGGTCTTCAGTACTTGTTGCAAAAAAGAACAGTTGTTTCCCCGCAGGTACAGAGCCGCATACGGGTACTTAAGATTATCCCGACCACACTAAGAAAAGCGTGCACCAAGCCTACCCGCCTCGTCGAAGGTGTCGAACCGGTTTCCCTCCCACCACGCTAGAGAAAAGCGTGTATGGGTGGTTTACCGGCTCGACACGAATGTCGAGGATAAGATTTAGGATCAAGGGCTGCTCACCTACCTCATCGTAGGTGTCGCAGGAAAGTCGTCGAATGAAGTGAAGTCGAACAACAACGAAGAGGCCGAAGAAGCGCATGATCAAGAGGAAGTTAACTTCACAGCGAGTGGCTCTTGTCATTGCCTTCGATCAAACGTCGTAGCTTCCGATCCGACAGGAAAGGAAAGTCGTCGAGTGAGTGAAATCAAACGACAACGGAGGGCCGAAGTAGCGTGCGAGAGGAAGAGGGAGAAGAGAGGCCGGGGCCTTCGCTTCCTTCGGTATTTAACGACGCGAGGAGTAGG